AGCCAAGATTGCAGTGCTGTAATTCGGAACACGTTTTCATGGATTTCATCAGTAATCAGCAGCAGTTGATCAGCTGATGAAATTTGAATATCATTCTTAGCGGCATTTTCTGATCTTAAATATGAGATTATCAATTTATTATTGATAAGACAAGACTCAATGTTTATAAAACAACAGAAATCAATGTGAAATTTCTTTCCTTCTAAAATAATGACAGTTCACTGAAGCCACGTACACTATCTTTTGATAGTCAGCAATTTCAGCAAAATGTAGAGTCGAAACATTTGGAATGGATAGTATGTCTGCTCACAAGCATCTGTCACTGTCAGTGACATCTTTGGATTTCGGAATGAAAAATTAGCAGATTGAGGCTATATTCCGAATTCAACCGGTCAGTACTGTGAGCAGATCCACTGACTCTGCTGAAAATATGTAGATTATTTTGCCTCCTGCTTGACATACATTTTGGAAATATGATATTTAAAATGAAAGCACAATCGGTTCTTGTAGCCTTCATAGTTTCTTCGATTGTTGACGATGACGATTCAAGCTCGAGTGATGAAGAATTCTTGGACATTTATGTAATATGGCATCAATGATGATGAATTCAGGAAACATTTCAGGTTTTCTATTTAGATGTTCATTTACCCAATGCTGCTTCTTCTTTCGTCACCTCTCTTCTACTTCATACTCTATACAGGGTGTTCCAGTTTTTTGTGGCAGGACTTTAACAGCTTGAAGAAGACATTTTTTCAAGATGAAAATCTCATACAAACATATATGCGTGGTTGCTTCGTTTCCGATTCAAAGGGTGTCAAAGTTTCAGATTGTTTTTATGTTTTTTGAATTTTCTCCTACAATTTTCGGAATAATTTATTGAAATTTGGTACACCTAATACACTTCAAAAACTTAATATTTGAGGCTATTGAACATTTCTAAATACCTACAGGGTGATAGACTTTCAGGGGTCGTACCCAATTTAACCCTGTAGAACTTTTTTGCGTGCCGTCTCTGCTTTCAAAGGGACATAGATTCAGATTGTCCTTCCAATTTGGAAACTTTTTGCCCCTGTGTAGATTTTTCGAAAACTGTATGGATCTCGAGATAAATGCCAAAAATAAATTACTTGTAATAAAACCGTTATTCATCAACACACTTATTTGACATTTCTTAAACATTTTATTGGAAAATAGAATGACCGACAGCTTCCATACCAAATGAAATTCAGTTGCAGAATTTAATAGAATTTTTTGAACACCATTATAATTAAAACTAGAAAAAACGAAACATGAAAAAAAAAAACCAAAACTTCGACACCCTGTAAATCGGAAACGAAGCTCCCACGCATATATGTTTGTATGAGATCATCATCTTAAAAAAATGTCTTCTTCAAACTGTTAAAGTCCTGCTACAAAAAACTGAAACACCCTGTATAATCTCTATATTATATTCTCAGCGTTTATTATTTTGATAACGGGTACTTTCTGATATCGAAAATAATATAATTAACAACGGAAATGAATGTTACATTTCTTCCCACTCTAAAATAATGACAGTTTACTGAAGCCACATCACCTTTTGATACTCAGCAATTTCAGCAGAATGTTGAGTCGAAATATTTGGAATGATTAGTAAATCTGCTCACAAGCATATCTGTCACATTCAGTGATTTTTTTGATTTCGGAATGAAAAATCAGTAGATTCAGTACTGTCAGTTGAATTCGGAATATAGCCCTAGTACCATCAGTTGAATTCGGAATATAGCCCGAGTCATGCCAATTATTTTGAATATAGAATTAAAGGGAAGTGCATTCATAGTGACAATAGGTCCAGGTATGTTTCCGGGCGAAGCGATTTGCCGAGTCTGTACTGGAAAAAATTTACCGGCATACAACATTTTATTTCATACTGTATACAAACAACAAGAGCCGTGAGTAATTGAACAGTGAATAATGATTCCATATGGGATGGGTGATTTTGATTTTTGAATTGAATCTATACTGTGAGATAGTTTCCATAGAAACGCGAGCAATTTTACGAATTTAGAATAAAGAATAGTTATTTTATATCTATACAGGGTTGGGCATATGTGTGGAAACACCTTAATATCTCGAAAACGACAAATGCGATCCCATTGAAACACGGTCCCTGGGGATGAATTTAAGTACCTAGGGGCTGTTTGACCTGAGGAAATCAAAAATCGTATCGGCAATGTTGCTAGATTTCTATATTTTGCTGTGCGTGACACAACTTTGTTTTTTGAATGCAATTCAATGTCAATTTGAGGTTCTATCAAATGGAGCAACACAGACTAATCACTCTTTTTTTTGTATAGCACTTCCACATAGAGCTTCTTGGTTGATAACATTCCGAGTAACATTTCATATATTAAGAATTTCGGTTCACAGAGTGTTTTCCGAATTGTGTCCATGGCGTACCTCTACCCGCACTGCGAGCGACTATTGCTCACTATTAAAATATTCTAAATGATAAGGAAGAGTTGTATGTACTATATTTGAAACATTCCAATTATTTATTAACTACGTTTTGCGTAGGTATATACTGTTTGGCGTTTTTATTTGAATAAAAAATTAAGAAACTTATATGTAGTTGCAGTTTCATTCACTTCCTATACCAATAACTGAGTAAGTATGACTATTTTATAGGCGAAATGAATGTGATAGGTATATATTTCAGGTATGAATTGAGTATTTATTCAGTATTAGATGAATTACAGACAATAATGAATACTGTCTGTAGGTTAATCGAGGAGGTGGTACATTCATTATTCCAGATATTCTGGGATTTTTTCTCCTCGTTTCTCTGACATAGAAATATGAATATTATTTCAATATACGTTCAGTAAGGACAAATAAGATGATCTGCCCCGAAATGTCACTGCGTTCAAAGAATTTTCCTGCCAGAGAGCCTAAAAGAGAAGTCCACTAGCTTGTCAATGACAATTTGTACTGAGAAAGGTTTGTAGAAGAGAAATAAAGGTATAAAGAAAAAAATATCGAATTTCTACATAGCTTTGGACGTTTTGGGAAAAAAGATAACAACCAGAAGAGAGAAATAAAGGAATCTGCTTGCATTCTTCTGAAAGGAGACAATAGCATTGCTTCCCTCTTCAGTTGATAAAGATAGAACATAGTTTTCACTACTATGAAAATGGTTAATTAATATCCTGTACGATATTTGATTGCCAAACGTCACCAATTGTCACTGAGAACTGAAAAGTGTCAGGACAAATACGAATTTACTATTCAAATATACATTTTTATGTTGAAAACGGAAGCAGATTCGTTCCCGAAAGGTCCAAAGATAAGTGAACATTAGATATTCTTTCTATATACCTTCATTTCTCTTCTCCAAACCTTTTTTCAATACAAATATTGTCACTGACAAGCTCGTGAATTAATCGTTTAGGCTTTCTGATAAAATCCTTTTTTCTACAAGCGTGCGTAATTCACCCTATACCCGCACGCAAATTAGTTTGGGGAGTGTCATTTTCCTGCAACATTGCGGGAAAACTTTTCCGACACTAGTGCGGCAAAAACAAAGAACATGATAATATGGCAAAATATAAGTGGTATAGGTGATGAAATATGAGAGTTTGAGTTTGTTTGTTGCAGTATTAAGTATGTATGTTCAGAATCATCCATCAAATTACACTATTTATTGTGAAAATCAAGAAATATTGAAAAATACAAATTGATTATTATAAAAATCCCCCTATACATCTAGATTGATCTGATGGAAAACGATTATTGTTGTCAATGCCAATCAAACCTCAAATGAGTTTGTAATTGTTGAAGTGACATATACAGCGTTACTGTCATTTTCGATTCAGTGGATTTGGCATAATGTGATCAAAAACTTCCAGCTATAGGAATGCGATACAGATGCGTTATTGCCAACGAAGTCTTAAGAAAGATATGAGAAGTTATATACTCGTTTTATTGAATGGTGCAAGAATAAAGAAATGAAAATAACGAATGAAGAAGAAGTATTTTTGGCTCATTTCCTAGAAGTGTCTGAAACCTAGAGACCAAACACCTTATATGGGCCTGCTGGCTTTCGCAATGAACCTTTACATAATGCGTCAAACTGTAAGTTCATAATAGCTATTACTAATAATCAGTAGATAGAGAATATATTATTTCTCTTGTCAGTTGTTCCTATATGAATGAATAATTAATTGAACAAATCAATCAATTTCTTACGCTTGTAGAAAAAATATTGTTCCTAACTCATGTGGAAAGTGTCTTTCCCGCACTCGACTGCTTGCCCGAACTCCGTTTCGCGTCGTTCGTGTCAACGGCAGTCGCGTGCGGGAAAGAATCACTTTCCGCACTTGTTAGGAAAATTACTATAAACGCAGTGACATTTTGGGGCAAATCATCTGATTTTTTCTTACATGACGTATTCATTGAAATGATATCGATATTTTTATTTTATAGAGACAAGGAGAGAAAATCACAAAAAATCTGGAATAATATGAATGTCGTACCACCTCCTCGATCAACCTACAGACAGTATATACTATACTTACCTATTTTTTCCGTGAAGTGCCACCCTTTTGTAGCAAAAGTAGTTTGAAATATATACATCTTACCAAAATACCAATTTTCAATACAGTTACCCATACCTATATTGTATATACAACCATACAAACATGATTATAATTTAGATAAATTACTTGCCCACTTATCAGAATATATGATAAAAACGCTGTAGTCAAGAACAAAAACTTCAAATCGGCTTTCATGGATCCATCCACGGTATCTACCTCAGAGAAATCAAACTACCACATATCAGTCATAGATGTCAGCGCTTGTATCAACACAAACACAATAAACATTATCCGAGCTCGGTCCGTCCACATGGTGCACTGGCATATCTTTGCCATACTCGCGTCTCCGTCATAGTTGTGTAATAATTATTTTAATCTGCTATCGATAAATCCGTCAATATTCGTTATAATCTTAGTTTCAACATGGCTCTGCCACGTTTCTTCCTTCGTGCAACAAATTTAGCAAGAAACCCTTCAATTTTCAGTCAGAATTCCTATAAAGTAACGTCAAGGTATTTTCATGTTTCGAACTGCGCATTCGCAGGTAAGTTTGTTGTCGTCTCGACACAGCTGGGTCACGCTGGGTATTGATAATTTGATTTTGATATTGTGTGTTTTAGAGAGGTTATACACTGATAAACACGAATGGGTCGAAATCAACAACAAAATAGGAACTATAGGTATATCAGAGTACGCACAGGTAAGTAATAAGTCAATATTGCTATATTTAGAGTAGGTAGGTAGGATTATACCTATACCTATTCCATTTTCAACCATTCACTAAGCTCGTGTCTTCTGTTATGCTGTCAATATCTGAATCATGTTTTATTCTTTATCTTTATTTATGTGAATTATTGTAAAGCGGATCAAGTAAAGCAAAATGCCACACCGTCCTTGCGTGCAGTGACAGCGTCAGAGCCGTCCCGACGTCATCAGCGTCGTATGAACTATTAGTATTATAAACGTGTTGCCAGATCTTCAAATTGTTTCAATGTATCAGATAATTGCTATGTATGTAACAAGGGCGTACAAGCTGTTATGGACCGCAGCGTGAAAGTAAGACGGCCGTTTTAGACTTTTATTCACTGTCAATATATGGAATAAATTTTGAATTCACTCGGCTGCATTATGTGCTTTGGTATGCCACTGTCGAAGAAAGATCGAATAATAGTCTCGAGTCTACTAGAAATCACTAGGACAGTGGAATTACTTTACCGCCTGTTGTACGCCTTAGGGTTCTGAAGGGCTACAATCAATTAATACGACCGCGAATCCGGGCGATAATAAAGTGGGTCGTGCATAAAATAAATTGATTCATTTGATTTTACTCTAATGAACCTATGATGAAAAGTCATAGTAGGTACTTTCAATATACAGGGTGTTCCAAATTTTCATAGAAATATTTTAATTCCAGATTCTGAAAACAAAAATAGTGTAGAAATGACCTCTTATATAGGGGGTTACAGCCATCTGAAGGCGAGCCAGAGATGAAGGTTCTTTGTAGATATTTTCGAAACCATTTGTGATAAAATAACCAAATTACGTCAGTTCGACAAGGAATTATAGAAATTTCGAAATTTTTACCTGGAAATGGTATACCTGTTTAGTTTCGATATGACCGACTGTATCTAAAAAATAAAAACCTCGATAAAAACCTCTTATTGATAATACTTCAAGATAACATAGATTCATGAACCAAATATTCTTCATTCTGAGACTATTATGGATACCAGGAGACTTGCTATTGTTTCCTCAGTCGATTACAGTTGTTGACTATACTCACTTCACTTTTTTTTTCAGGAAGCTTTAGGAGATGTAGTATATGCACAACTACCAGATGTTGACACTGTACTTCTTCAGAAAGGTACCTCACTCATGGATCTGTACCTACTTTTCACGAATGATTCTCATTTACCAATTTTCAGACGAATGTGGCGCATTAGAGAGTGTGAAGGCAGCTAGTGAAATTTATAGCCCAGTATCTGGAAAAGTTGTTGAAAAGAATGTTGGAGTAGAAGATACGCCATCTCTAATCAACTCCTCATGTTACGAAAAAGGTGAGTTCTTACTATATTTTGAAAATTAATTTTCATATATCAATACACCCACTTAATTGGTGTTACTGAGGACTATTGATTGATTTCTTCCTTCCAGTTGAATTACAAACGCAATGACATTTTGAGCCAGATCATCCAATTCGTCCTCATTTACCTACTCCCCTTTTTTTTCGAAAACTGGGCTGTATATTGAAATAATCCTAATATTTCCATTTATCAAAGCGAGGAGATAAAACCTCAAAAGTTCAATGAAATATTGTCCATTTCCTCATTTGAAAGCTGTGTCTTAGATTGAAGAAAATTCAGTGAAGTTCATGCAGGGTACCTATTCTCTATCCAGTTGTCGAGTGTTGTATTCAAATGTATTCGAGGATTTTTTGGATTAGGTATATTTGAAACACCTTGTATATTTGTTTTACAGGATGGCTCTTCAGAGTGGAACTAACCAACGAGAGTGAGATATCCAAACTGATGTCAGAATCACAGTACAAAGAATTCCTTAAGACTCAAGAATCACACTGAAACTCATGATCTGTTGTTATGTTTTTGTTAATGTCTTTTATATCATGAATAAATATCACTTGTTAGGTACCTATTAGTTGAATGTCAGTGCCTATCTGCTTTCTACTTATATAATATGTGTCTATATACAGATAAAAAAATCGTAGAATGAGAGGTCAAGAATTACGGTTGAAATTTATCATTATTCACAGAATTGGATGATTATTACTTAACATTATTTTGATAATCCGATGTTGGGTAACGATGACTCAAGGGAAATATGCGAATTCCAAGGTCATTGTTTGATTTTGTGTTGTCCTTTTCTTTGAATGTTATTTTTACTAGATTGTTCTATACAATCATTGTCTGATGACTCTGATGTAAATTATGATTTCCTTGGATTGAATAAAAAAAGAGGTGAATCTATTCCAGTGTTTCATCACTATATGAAATTTTTAATTCAAAACATTTCACGTACATATACAGGGTGGGTCACGGTCGATGGCACTTTAGACGTTTACGGAGAACGGGACATAGGATCATTCTGAAAATTTGGTTACTCAAGTCATTGCTCTTGATCTATCGATCTAAAATATTTTCAGCTCTGCGGCGTTGCCGCTTCTATCGAAAAGTAGCAACAACTTTGTTATTTCAAATGGAACACCTTGTATTTTATCGCATTTTCAGATTCTCTCTGAAGAGCTGATTTCACCGATGTATCACACTTGGGGTCTAGCGGAAATGATTACAGAGATATAGGGTGTGAAAAATCGACATTTTTCAACTTTAGGAATTTTTTTTTTCGAAACTATATTCATTATTGATCAAAACGGCTCACATGTCCCTATCCTAACTTTTGATCAACTATCTACTGACATTCAATTGAAACAAATACAGGGTGGTGCAGAATTCAGATTCTTGATCACCCGGTATATGTCCCAATTAAATATCAGTAGATAGTTAATCAAAAGTTGAGATAGGGACATGTAAGCCGTTTTGAAATGAATAGTTTCGACAAAAAAAATTCCTTAATTTGAAAAATGTCGATTTTTCACACCCTATATCTCTGTAATCATTTCCGCTAGACCCCAAGTGTGATATATCGATGAAATCAGCTCTTCAGAGAGAATCTGAAGATGCAATAAAATACAGGGTGTTCTATTTAAAATAACAAAGTTGTTGCTACTTTTCGATAGAAGCGGCAACGCCGCAGAGCTGAAAATATTTTTGATCGATAGATCAAGAGCAATTACTTGAGTAAACAAATTTTCAGAATGATGTTATGTCCCGTTCTCCGTAAACGTCTAAGGTGCCATCTACCGTGACCCACCCTGTATATTTCTCCTAGAGATGAATGATTACGTAAGAAATTACTATACGAATGGCCGGTATTGACAGCTTTTTTGTAACGTTTTTTCAACTTCCGAGTACTGACTCATATGGGTTCTCAACATGTCCTAGACACATGTGCTCGCATATGCAGCGGCGTCACCATTTGAATTTGCATTGGAATGGACTTACAAGTGAGAACTCCATGCAATTATGTTGACTATGTTCCATATGAAATTCATATTGAACTATTCTTCAAGTTTTATATAATTGTTCCGAGTGGTCGAAAACAAGTACTTGTTTAAAAAATTACCACAAAGGGCATGTGCACGATACGATGGTATGCAAAGTAGTTTATCGTGACACAAGTATAAGACCAAAAATAAGTTTGCAAGAAAGCAATGATATTGTACAAGAATACCCTCCTCTTCATCACATGTTCATTTTATAGTTTCGTGTCCAGATAACACCAAGCATCGGCCCAGCATTTGTAACGCACACCTCTACCGGCAGTTCATGTACTTTCTCGGCGTCGAGGTCTCCAGGCGGCCGACACCCGGCCGTAATACACATTGCCAGCGATTAAATTATTGACCCAGAAGTGCTACAGCAGAAACAAATTTCAATGCACCATTGATGGGAGCGCTCAGCCACCAACGTATATGCGCTTGAAAATCCGTATAAGGGAGGTTGAGATTTCCGAGCACTTTCTAAGTATCTGACCACGAACTACAAACTTTAAATGCGCACAGTCCCTATCCTTTCTAGGCACGCACGATGTCGTTCTTCGAACATTATAGGGATTCCCTTTCGTGCGCTCCAAAGAATAAAAAACAAATAAAGATCATTTTCTTGAGCAGGAATCGATCGCAAGGAAAGCCAGTACAATTATCTATATTTATTATGACATATTGATAAATTTTATAAATTTTTCATGTTTTCGTTCCTTATTATTGTTTACTGTAATATCACATACTCGTGAATGCTCGGGATGAGCATATAAAGGTTGAAGGTATATAGTATAAGTACTGTAGCAATAACTCAGTATAGCAAGGACAAGAATCGAACTATCTGGGTAGGCATAGAGGTCAAGTTTTGCTGAAGGTTATCTATCTAATAATTTGGAACATGCACATGATGGACCATCAATTTATAAACAATATTGGATAACAAAACCAACAAGGGTACTTACGTTCCAAATTCCAAGGATTCGTTCATTTTCCTGCTAAGCATATCAAATCGGCATGTGAGCCTGATGTTCTTCCTTTTCTCATTATTTTTTCTTTTTCTTTTCATCTCTTGCAGCACACGAAAGTGAATGCGTATGATATTTAATAAAATTCGTGATGCGTACCTAGAGAGGATTGAAAGAGGTAGGTGTTGGAATTTTTCTAGAACTTTTGGAAGTTATATAATTATAAGTTCTTGAGAACACTTTCATCGGTAAAAACTTCCAAAGCTTTGTCTTTCTATAGAGAAACGAGTTTTGGTGTAGCCTTGTTCGACATATTTCGAGTTTGACATGGAAAATATGTGCTGACTGAGCCTGTAGAGTTCGTCTGACTGGTTTTACCAGTGATGGAATGATAGAAGCGATTTCTGAGGAACATTTTTCGTGGAAGTATATCTATAGAGTAGTGAAAGGTCGCCGAGTTTTCAATAAGGTCAAAGGAATAGTGAGTGTGCCATCACCAACCAGGCGAACGCCTTTTCTCTGGGTGGAATATAAGGGAATCAGCGTATGTTTGGATGCTGAACCCCATACAGGGTTTCCGGAAAGGTCATGTCGTAAATAATAGGAATGATAGAGTGAGCTCAAAATAATGTTAGTATACCTTATATGAAATGAATGCCTATCGCGTTTCGTTACGGAATTATTGACCTTGAAAATTTCTGCAAGTCCATACATAATGTGCATATGTGCATACTCAACATAACTAAACCCATTCATGGTACGAAACACTGTCAAATTTGATGTCAATTATGACAAAAAGACTGCAACGACCATGATGTTTCTATTACCTAAAATTTTAAACCGTTTTAGATGTTTAATTGAATGTTTTGAAAATGCGATTTTCTCTAAAACGGTACAAGATATTGATCAAAATAAGGTATACTATCTTTTTAGATGAAATATGAAGGAATCGAACGATGGAAGAAAAATGTCAATTATGACAAAAAGACTGCAACGACCATGATGTTTCTATTACCTAAAATTTTAAACCGTTTTAGATGTTTAATTGAATGTTTTGAAAATACGATTTTCTCTAAAACGGTACAAGATATCGATCAAAATAAGGTATACTATCTTTTTAGATGAAATATGAAGGAATCGAACGGGGGAAGAAAAATGTCGAATTTGTCGCCTATGTCAAAAATTTCTCCATTAAACGAAAAAAAATCGTCCCATCCTGTACAAAACTTAATAAGTGAATTACGATCGGTCATCAAAGATTTCAACATCTTAATTCGCTTGTAACTCAGAGGTTTATTCATGAGAGATCATTGTTTTTTCTATTTATTAGTGGAAGAACTAGAACTGAATGTTATGATATGGTGAGAATTAGAGAAAAAAATATGTTTGTGAGATACGTCACTACGTGAGATCATATTTGTCAATATGGCCTTAGATACGCCATGAATATGAATGAATTCGAATGAATATCAGATTCGAATATTCATTTTTATTGACAAAGAGCACAGAAATTTATTCGACATTTACAATACCCCTGTCAGTACCTGGAGACGTCACCCGAGATATTTTAATTTCCGCGGCAAACCGGATTATGAGATACGTCACTGTTGATATTTTTAACAAATAATAAAAATATATCTCACGTATTGACGTAACTCCCATAGTTAGGTCACTTCGTGGGATTTGGTAGTCCAATAATTTGAGATAGGCTGAGTATTCGATATTTAATTAGACGAAAACCAATGACCATTGAGCTACGCCACTTCGTAAGATCATAATATAGCATAAGAATATAAGTCATTCGACGAAGTATCTCAAATTCCGTGAGATGACTCACGATTGATATACCATGGCAACCGTTTAATAGTTGCTGATGGAAATACCGAGCATCGAAATAGTGGTCTTGGTAAGGGAATGGTGGTACCAGACGTTATATCAGACCATCAGGCATACGGAGTTCGGCCTTTCATGTGGGAAATATCATGATATATCATTTGCTTTGGAAATCCATCGATCAGAATTCATAGATTAACTGATATACCTTCATTATACTAGTGTATATGTATGTTCCCAACTTTGATAGTTGGTCTGTGAGATTCAATTTCTCTATTACTTAGTGTAATGATATTCATACCATTAGATTTATTCTATCTCAAACTTGTATCATTATTCGTTGCAGAGATATGACCGACAGCCGTTTTTAGTTGTTCACCCTGTACATATCCATACCTAATTATAGTTAATGTTTTCAAGACAAAATAAAATACATTCCGCAAAAAGTTTACTGTTATTTACTGTTCATTGTGGAAAGATTTAATCCTTTTATTTCACTTATAAAATCAAATTAAATTTCATCACCATCAAATCTTTATTGGGACCTCAACATCATAGGCCAAGACGTTTTCAAAAGATAGTGGAGTATTTGCAAATTATGGTGGAAGCACATTGGTATATTTAAAATTTTGGCGAAGCGCTATAATCCCTTCGTGAAATTTTA